CTCTTCCTCCCATGGAGAGGCTGGTGGTTTTGAACTGCTGGCCTTGGAGCTAGCCCATTACGCCACCATACGGGTTTCTTACCCCACCCAGGGGGCCTTTCCCGTCACCTGGGAGGTGCTGTCATGAACCCCACCTTACGAAGGGAACACTGAGGCTTACAGGGCTGGGTCACAACTCCATGAGGTGTCTTTGAGCAAGTCCACGTGACTGAGACTGCCTCGTGCTGTTTCCTATGCTGCAGTCTTTCCGGGGACAGATCACCAGGTAGCAGCCAACCCTTCCACGCCTCCCTGCCTCCTTGCCAGAAAACCAGACACACCACCATCACGGGACCCCACAGAACAGGGTAGAACTGCCCTTGTGGGTCTCAGAGACAGTCACTCTTTACGGCAGGGGTCCTCAAACTTTTTAAACAGGTGGCCAGTTCACTGTTCCTCAGACCCGTTGGAGGGCCGGACTATAGTTTTAAAAAAAACGATGAACAAATTCCTACGTACACTGCACATATCTTATTTTGAAGTGAAAAAAACAAATGGGGCAAAAACACCCAGCGGGCTGGGTAAATGTCCTCGGTGGGCTGCATGTGGCCTGCGGGCTATAGTTTGAGGACGCCTGCTTTTATGGGAATAGAAAGCTCCTTTTTTCTTCTGCGGAGCAGCTGGTGGTTTTGAACTGCTGACGTTGAAGTCAGCAGCCCAGAACGTAACCACTAAACCACAAGGGCTGTTTGATTTATTTCCCTGAAAAATCAGAGCACTCCTGGGATTTTTTTTGCTTTTTACATCCTGTCCCATCCCATCCCATCCCATCCCATCCCATCCCATCCCATCCCCCAAAGCAGGGACAGTTCCAGTGCAGCTGGAGAGGGTAGCACTCGGCCCCACCTCCCAGCCCATCCCCTCCAGCAGGGCAGGGCTCCACTAGCCCAGCTCAATCCTGGGACTTGGCCAAGGGCTGCAGCTCCACCCACCACTGCAAAGCTGAGCTACAGGCTGGGTTTCTGGCAGGAAGGACACACTAGGCCATTTCCATTTATCCATGTGAGGGACTGGCTTCCAGGATCTGCCTGGCTTAGTGAATCCTCGGGGGGCTGGGGGACAGGGCTAAGAAAGGTCAGGCCAGCATGAAGGGCCGCCCAGCTTTGAGAGATAGCACAGTGGGACTGCAGCTCCTGAGGAGGATGCACAAGAATGGACAGGGAGGACAGGCTGCGGGGAGAGGAGTGGGAGGCAGAGGACCCCACTCTCCACTGGTCACAGGGTGCCCCCAGGCCAGCCTGGCTATAAAGCCTGCAGTAGCCAGGGGTGACACAAGGCTTCTGGGGAAGGGGCAGTGTGGTGGACAAGGAGGCAAAGTGAGTGTCCTGAGCATCGGTGTCCACCCACCAGGATAGTCACACCTTGAAAAGCCAACACTATCTCACACATTCACAGGGCAGCGAGGTTTTCTCCTCCCGTCGAAAGCTACAGTCTCAGAAACCCACAGGGGACGTTCTAGCCTGTCCTATAGGGTCACTGTGAATCAGGATTGGTTCGATGGCAGGTGAGTTTGGTTTTTATAGCCGTCGTCTTTGTAACTCCCACCAAATTCCTTTTTCCCGATGGGTTTGAATAAGAGGAGGTGGAGGGAGACGCTGATAGAATCCAGCCGCGAGTGGTTATACACAAGGCTCACTCTGAGTACCTTCTTGCAGGATACAAAGCAAGCCACGTCAGACAGAAGCAGGAAGTGGGGCCCTCACTATGGGGAGGAGAGGAGAGCCAGGAGTGAAGCATGTCCTTGGGACCCCGAGATCCCTGGGCATTGAGCCTCCTGGATCCAGGAGACACCATGGACAGCAGCAACAGAACCAGAGCATGAGACAGTGAGGTAGTTACATAATCTGGTGTCAATTTGGGACTTGAGAGGATTAAAAGTGAAGGGGTGGAGTCTAATCTGTCAATTGGGTCACAGCCAATGAGGCCTCTGTGGGCATGGCTTTCCCTGGAGGATTCTGTGGAAAGTCTGGATTTTCCTCCTTGGGAGATGAGAGACAGACTCTTTTGGCTCACTCCCTTGGAGACTCTTTACTGGCAAGACACATGGCCCTATGCTGATAGATCCCAAGCCTGGGAACTGGAAAAACCA